CCACATAGCGTGATACTGTATAAAGCACCTTTATTCCGAATAATGGGTACAATCAATAAGATAAAAGGAAAGGTACTGACCATGTGTTCCAGATTGCCACCTGTGGTGGTCAGATGTCCAGTTGCTGTAGCCCCCCTGACGCGTTTCGTGCGATGCACATAGTCATAGGGAGAAAGGGCTTACCCTTAAGCCCTTTCTCCCTATGACTATGTGCATCGCACGAAACGCGTCAGGGGGGCTACAGCAACTGGACATCTGACCACCACAGGTGGCAATCTGGAACACATGGTCAGTACCTTTCCTTTTATCTTATTGATTGTACCCATTATTCGGAATAAAGGTGCTTTATACAGTATCACGCTATGTGGTCTCTTATTGGGCTCTCCATGTGAGTGCCTTCATTCGCAGTGCCCATACAACAAAAGAGGATCCCAGAGGGTGATACATGCTAACGGACCAGGGAATCCTACACGCTGATGTACCTGGATGGTGATTTATGATGTGATCTGACCTGGAAACAGATGACCTTCTCATTGCTTGATGCAGGATTTCATACTGCGTATTTTAAAACGCACTTCTGGTGAGTGCGTATTTCATTCATTTGAGTCACATCACCTGTCACCTTTGGACCAAGACATCCGTGCACCTGAAATTGTGATCCCTCAGGATCCACACGATTTTATCACTTTGAACTGTTCAGTCACTAATAATCACCATTAAGTGATATTCATTTTGCACTTGCTGATATTGTATTATACAGTATATATAGTATATCCATTTACTAGCGCTGCACCTATTACTGTGATATATAAACCTCATATCAGTTTACTGTAATTTGTGTATGAGTCTACTTTCTGGTGGTAATTTACTCTGGTCTAAAGAATCCTGCGGTGTCAGCAGGGGTTGGGCTTTCAGAAAGTGGGTCCAGAACAACAGGGTGCCCAAAAATAACTCAGCGACTCCTAAGGGGGTAGTGCTACACTAATGTATCATGAGCTGTACATATAGACATTTTTAGCAGGGGTTCCTTAAAACTGGAAAGTTATTTCAAGGGTTCCTCTGAGTTGAAAAGGTTGAGAAAGGCTACCTTAAAATGTAAAATAAAATTGATATAATAAAAATAACTCCAATGCTCTAAATTTTACTAAAATTCTACTAATATTTTATCAAAACTTCTGAATGATTTAGGGTCATTGAGGGGATCCAGTATTATTAATATTATTTTAAATGTTATTTAGTAATCTATTTATTTTGCTTTAAAAATGACTTTGAACCAATAACAGGAGCAATGGTGGAAAAATATGCGGTTGAATTTTCTTTTTATATACAACAAATCTCTCACTGGCTAAAATATGTTTGTTTTGCCTGTCTGCAGAATTTACATTGATGGTCCCTTTGGAAGCCCTTCAGAAGAAGCCTTCAACTATGAGGTCAGCCTCTGCGTCGCTGGAGGCATCGGTGTCACTCCGTTTGCATCAATACTTAACCAGTTACTGTACGTATACCACCTCTACATATGTCATTATTATGCAGGGTTAAAGTCATGGATCTGCTGCCTGGGCAGCAGCCTTGGGCACATTTTGCCCATGTCAAAAACAATAAATAAGAAAGATTATAAATAAGGAAGTTTGTTATTTGGATATGATATCAATGCATAATATTGTAGCAGAAAAAAGGTTTTATCAGGGGTCTGTGGAAAGAGCCAGCGGTCGTTCTGCTACATTATTAAAGATTTGCAAAGATAAAAGTCAGCAGCTACCAAAACTTTAGCTACTGAATGGATACTTACCTGTCCAAAGATCTAGTGCCGTCCTCACCTTGGTCGGTTCTTTGGGTCCCTTAATGTGGGAAGCCAACTGTGACTCCTTGCAGTTTCAGAGCCTGTTTCCCACTACGCATGCGCGAGCTGCGCGGCTCTGTGTGAATGGTCCCACTACCTCATGGGACCTGTGACGTGTCCCAGGAGGTTGCAGGCTGGGGGGGATTAACTTCCAGTAGAATTGCCTAGGTGATCCTAACAGAAATGGGAGCATATACTTACCAAAACTAGGTGCCTTCCCCGCCCCAAAATGCCCAAAAGGATTGGGTGAAGAGGAGGATGTAAAGCGGAACTTCCACTTTAAGTGTGTTGTAAGAACTTCAAAATATAATGCATTAATTCTGAGTGTGTTGAATGCCTCTGTCCTCATTGCCCCTGCCGGCCGTTATCCTCTTACTGCCAGGAAGGAACACAGTAAGGACATAACCGTCAGAAGGTGGAACCAAAGCAGGTTAAAGCATCTGAGACAATCAAAATGGTTGGATGGATAAGCAGCGTAGTTCTGTAGGAGAAAAAACACTGCAGGAATACTGACTGGATACTTACCTGTCCAAGAATCTAGCGCCATCCTCACCTTGGTCGGTTCTTTGGGCCCCTTTGGGGGGGACTTCAAGGAAGTATCAAAGGTTAAAAGGCACAGAAGAAGCCAGTGAATTAAGCCATACATATTCATACACAAGCAATCAACCCTATGTACCCTAGTTTGAGCATAAAACAATAATATACAAATATACTTGGTGTTTAGGTTTACATTCAGTTCACATGGTTGACACATGCTTCTGAGATGGTCAAGATGGAAGTCTTTTCCAAAACACATGGCTACGTTCACTTCCTGCTTCCCTCCATTTCCTGCCAACATCACTTCCTGTTTAACATCAGACTAGCTAGGCAAGTTCATTGGCATTTTAAATAGAGGAAACCTAGCTACTGGCTGAAACTCACTGGAGAAAAAGTACAATTAACCCTTTTGACCTCCAATGTTAGCTAAAAATTTAATATTTGCTGTATAATGCTTAAAATGGCTATAGGCATTTGTTATGTTTAATTTAACTTTCTTTTTTTGTTGGCCACTTCCCCGCCACCCTATAGCAGAATGACTGCTGCAGGGCTACACAAAATCACATTTATATATACATGATTTGCATTTCCAGGTAGGGGTTACGCGGTCACGCACGCTGCCCCAACCCGTGTTGTCAGCTACAGATGTCAATCACCGGGTCCCGGCTGGAGATTCCCCGCTAGCACCCAGTGATTGCTAAGAAACAGTGACAGGGGAGAGACCTGTGTGTAAACAAACTGCCAGCAATAACAGCAGAGAAATACACAGCAGCATGTTTCCCTAGCAAAACACACACAACAAACACAGTAAAGCAGCACACAGTTAACCCTTTGATCACCCCAGATGTTAACCCCTTCCTGCCATTAGTACAGTGTCAGGGCTTTTTATTAGCACTGATCACTGTATTAGTGTCATTGGGATGTCAATGGTAGTTAGTCAGTTACCCCCCCAGTGTCAGAATGCCCACTACAATCCCGCAGTCCCACTATAAATCGCTAATCACTGCCATCACTAGTATAAAAAAAAACCCAGTATATATACAGCCATTTGTAGATGCTATAACTTTCATATAACCAAATTAATTTACATATATTGGGATTTTTCTTAGCAAAGGCATGTAGCAGAATATATGTTGGCCTAAATTAATGACGAAATTTGATTTTTAAAATGTTTTTACTGGATATGTTTTATAGCAAAAAGTCAAACATATTGGGTTTTTTTTTCAAAATGTTCGGTCTTTTTTTGTTTATAGCGCAAAAAAAAAAAATGCACAGATGATCAAATGCCACCAAAAGAAAACTCTATTTGTGGGAAAAAAAGTACATAAATTTCATTTGGGTGCAGTGTTGTATGACTGCGTAATTGTCAGTTAAAATAAAGCTGGGCCATATCGCAAAAAATGGCCTGGCCAGGAAGAGGAATACATTCTCTGGAGGACAAGAGGTTAAAGTGAACTTGTTGGCTGCCTGCAAAAAAATCTAACTGGCAGGTCCCTGTAATAGTTCAGCTATTGTACTCACCAGTCTGGCTGCCCTCAGACCCCTACTTCACTGCTGTGATATAGGGTAGGAGGATAAACTACAGCAGACTGCAGGGTGACACCGACATTTGACACACCTAGAAATGCTGAATGCTAAAGAATCTGATAGAGGCTTCAGTACTGGAATGATTGGAAGGTAGAAGGCACAGGCCACCGGAGAGGTGAGTTTAAGAGCTTTTCTAATGCAGGGACCTACCAGTTAGATTCTTTAGGTCAGGGGTCTCCAAACAAAGGGCCAGTTTACTGGACTTCGGTCTTTAGTACAGCCAGAATGTGGCTATTGGGAGTAGAAAATCCACTATCATTACTATCAGTGGGAAGAATAGTGCACCATCATTGGTGTCAGTGGGAGGAATAGTACCCCATCATTGGTGTCAGTATTAGCAATAGTGCCCCATTGTTACTGTCAGTGGTAGGAATAATGCCCTGTTGATGGCGTCAGTGGGAGGAATAGTGCCCCATCATTGGTGTCAGTGGAAGAAATAGTACCCCATCATTGGTGTCAGTATAAGGAATAGTGCTCCATCACTGGTGTCAGCGGAAGGAATAATGCCCCACCATTGGTGTCAGTAGGCGGAATAGTGTCCCATCATTGGTGTCAGTGGTAGGAATAATGCCCTGTTGATGGCGTCAGTGGGAGGAATAATGCTCCATCATTGGTGCCAGTGGAAGGAATAGTGCTACATCATTTGTGCCAGTGGGGGGGAATAGTGCCCTATCATTGTGTCATTGGAAGGAATAGTAACCCATTGATGGTATCAGTGGGATGAATAGTGCCCCATTGTTGGTGTCAGAGGGAGAAAAAGTGCCCCATTTTTGGTTTCAACAGGAGGAATAGCGCCCCATCCTTGGTGTCAGTATTAGGAATAGTGCCCTATCGTTGGTGTCAGTGTTAGGAATAATGCCCTGTTGGTGGCGTGAGTGAGAAGAATAGTGCCACATCAATGGTGTCAGTGGAAGAAACAGTGCCCCATCATTGGTGTTTGTGGAAGGAATAGTTCCCCACCATTACTGCAAGTGGGAGGAATAGTGCCCTATCATTGTGACAGTGGGAGGAATAGTGTCCTATCATTGTGTCAGAGGGAGGAATAGTGCCCCATCATTGGTGTCAGTGGGAGGAATAGTGTCCCATTTTTGGTGTCAGTTGAAGGAATAGTGCCTCATCATTTGGTGTCAGTGGGAGGAATAGTGTCCCATTTTTGGTGTCAGTGGAAGGAATAGTGCCTCATCATTTGGTGTCAGTGGGAAGAATCGGGTCCTATTATTGTGTCAGTGGATGGAATAGTGTCTTGTTATTGTGTCAATTTGAGGAGTAGTGCTCTATCACTGTTGTCAGTGGGAGGAATAGTGCCCCATCGATGGTATCAGTGGGAGAAATAGTGCCTCAAGGGATAGATAGATAAAGGCAAGCAAAGGGCCGCATCCGGCCCCAGGCCGCAATTTGGAGACCGTTGCTTTAGGCGTCTGATGCCTTCACATTAAAGTGTACACCTATGCTATAATTTTTTTACCCTCTTGTGGGAAGGTAAATTTGGAAGGATTAGAACCCCTTTCTTGTTTTTACTGCTATTCAAAGCTCCAGTAGAAAAATCTTTTCTTCCATTCTGTGCCAGTGACAACAGTTTCACCTGTGAGAAAGTGAGGAAAAATCTTCAGTAGGGACACAGTCATAAACAGGTTGATTTACTAAAGGCAAATAGACTGTGCAGTTTGCAAGTGCAGTTGCTCTAGAGTTTGGTAAATGAGGGAAAGCTCTGCTGACTTTCACATCCAATCATGTGCAAGCAAAAATGCTGTTTTTTTTCCTTGCATGTGATTGGGTATTCTTTGCAAAGTGAAGCTTCACCTCATTTACTAAGCCATGGAGCAAATGCCCTTGGAGAATGCAACTGCACTTGCAAAGTGCACAGTCTATTTACCTTTAGTAAATCAACTCCAAAATGTTTAAAATTGTTCCAGCCTTCGAATACTTTAGTATAAAAAAACCTTTTTATTTCTGTGCTTGTTGCTGTAAGATATTTACTACCCGTTTGATGAAATCAGGAAATCTCCCCTATTGGTTAGTAGTAGCACTAAAATAAGGGATTTTACCCTTCTTCACGCTGTCCAAAAAGTATGTTTTTGCTTGATTTTCACTTTAAAGTGGAGTTCCAGTTGAATTAAAAAAATTAAAATGAGTAAATACAAATTACCTGTCCCTCAGTCCAGTGGTGTCCTCACCATGGCTGGTTTCACCAGCAGTCTTCTCTTTCCGGCACCGGCATCTTCAGTTTGGGCACCCGGCTGTGACAGCTCTAGGCTTCACAGTCGGGTGCCCACTGCGCATGCACTAGTAGCGCTGCGCTTTGTGAACGGTCCCATAGTCTTCTGGGACCTGACTCGTGTCCCAGAGGACTACAGGGAGGGAGGGGGGGGGGGGGTGGACAACTTTCTCTTATGATCGCCTTAGGAGATTGCAGCAGAAGTGGGAACCTGTCAAATTTGGGTACCTGCTCCCCAAAGGTGCCAATCTGGGGGTGGGGGACAATGTATTAAAGAGTAACTTCCCCTTTTGGGAAAGTCTAATGTGCATTTACCCATAGGAGCCAACTTTAGCATGATTGTTCACTAGATTGATATATTTTGAAGGGATGTTGGCCTTCAGCTTACCAACAGCTACATTATAATTGCTCTAAATCCATTTATTTAGTGTAAAGGTCCAGAAACATCATAGTCTCCATGGTTGTGGTTATTTTCTCTAGATGGATGAAATGATGGACGTCAGTCACTTTAGTAGATTCTAAAATAGGAAAGAAGTGTATTAAATATGCAATATGGGAAGGAGGGTGAGGTATGGACCAGGATAACCCCAAGTACCCTGGACCTCAACATCAAGCTAGGCATCAATCTCTTCCACATCTTTCTCAAGGTCTCTCATTCTCCGGTTCTTTTTCTAATCACATACTATGATGACTGGACCTCTTTCAGACCATAAGCTGATGAGTGATTGAAGCTCTGGTGGTATCTCAATCTTCACTTCCATTGAAAGACACCATGGAAATGATCCTGTGTATAACTTGCCACTAAACCATACTTCTCCACATGTCTATATTTGGAGGGACAGTTGCAGTTTACTTCTCCAAGCACTTACATTCTCTTCTTTCAGCAGCCAACACCTTCAGTGATTCCTTCCAAGAGGGGAGATCCCTGTAACCTTCCATATTCCTAGCCCCAAGGCCTAAGATAGACTAACCTCTAAACAGGCAGCCTCCCGGTGCAAAAATCGAGGAGGATAGAGACAGAACAGGAATTGGATCAGATACTTAACAGTTCCCCAAGCATCCCTCAGTGGGTTCCCCAGGCCCCTTGGTTGGCTAGGCTATCAATCACATAACACAGAATCATATCTCTCTTGCACACTTTGTTGGAGCAAACTAAAACAACATGTGGTTGAAAAAATGCACTGAGAAAATGTGCTTAGATAAATTCTCCTGTTGAGGTACAAATAGACTGACTACAAAATTCACAAAAATGCAAAAAGGAATTTAGTAAAAAGTACTACATCCCTACGCAATCAAAACCCTTTTATTGTTCTGAATTCCATGAAAGGTGATAAGAGACTGGTTACTATCAGCCAGTGCTTCCTGTACTTCCTGCACACGCTCTTGTATATTACATGTGAGTTAGCATACATTCATTTTTCCAGTAATTATTTTGGCAGAAAACATCACAGCATGGCTCCATAGACAGGCAGCTTTTGTGTTCTGTGCCTATCAATGCTTTTTTCTTGTATCCTTTCCAGAGAATTACTTGTGACATATTTTGAGTCACCTTCCCAGCAGGAGCTGTGCTCAGACCCCACTAGCTATGCACGTCTTATGGAAAATAAAGACAATTCCCCGTCACAGCTATTATCAGGCCTTGTTTTGTAGTTATAGGAAACTCATGTTTCTGCAACATTTACCTTCTGCTTGGATTGCTGTGATTCCATCATGTACTGTGTATTTCCATTTAGATTCTCTTTTTCCTATGTCAGCTGCATATCTTTCCCATGCAAGCGCTAATCCTGAAACGTTTCCTGAGTGCTTGATGTGAAAGTGGAGAGATGGAAGGCGCTGACATCTCTGTGTGTCTGGGCGCGCTTCATTATCTCCTCTATCAGGTGTCATGGATCAGGGTTAGGCTGCAGACAGGAATTCTGATGAACCGTCTGGGTGACACTCTCAGCCTTCCCACCACTTTATAAAGAAGATTCCTCAGAGATTGGCCTTTATCGGCTTATACTGGTTATTTGGGGTCAGGCAGGAGAAATGGGCAGGTTCACTGTCTTTATAGATCTGCTATATTTACTTCTATTATTGAGAAAAGCAGGAGTAAAAAATTACGTCAGCAGTGCTTATCTTCAGGACCAGGATATATTGTATTTAAACCTCTTTACAAAATAGAAGAGGCAAAATAGATTACAACCTTTAGATTGAAAGTAAACCTGTGCTTTATCCAAGCCTTTCGCTACCAGGGCCATTTTTGCATTTTTTTTGACACGTTTAAAAAAATTATTTAGGCCTGTAGAGATAAATAAAACCCCCCAAAATGATCTCCTTTCCTTACAGTAATCTTTATTTCCTTTCTTCCTCTATTGTATAAACTCAACTATGGAGGTCTGTCGGACTTTTTGTGGCTCAAGACCCATTTGTGTTTTCAGAGCACATAAACAGTGGCTTCTCTCCACCTTCTCTCCTTGCTCCTTACCCTTTCTCCCTTTTCCCCACTCTAAAACCATTTATAGTGGCTTCTCCCCAATCTCTCTCCTTGCTCCTTACCCTTCCCCTTTCTCCCTTTTCCCCACTCTAAAACTGTTTATTTATAGTGGCTTCTCCCCACGCTCTCTCCCTGCCCCCTACCCTTCCCCCTTCTCCATTTTCTCCACTCTAAAACCATTTATAGTGGCTTCTCCCCAATCTCTCTCCTTGCCCCTTACCCTTCCCCTTTCTCCCATTTCCCCACTCTAAAACTGTTCATTTATAGTGGCTTCTCCCAATGCACTCTCCCTGCCCCCTACCCATCCCCCTTCTCTCTTTTCCCACTGTAAAACTGTTCATTTAAGTTTCTGTATTGTTATAAATGTTTAAGACATTTTCTGTCTCCAGGTACCCTATTGCTCCTGGCCCCTGGTGGACTGGGGTTGTGATATTCTGATTGTAACTGCTGATCTTTGTCTTACTCATGCATTTGTTTATTACCTGAGATCATATCGTTTGACCATGTGTTCCTCAAGAGCTGGGTTTACTTTACATCGTTATTTAGATTTGCTCACTTAACTTCTTTTGTTCTAATATTGTATTATATTAATATTATACTTGGCATTTTATGATCCTTTAATAAAAACATTGAAATATAAAACCCCCCAAAACATTACATATTTTTTTCAGATCGTAAAGACCGGAGACTGGAGAAGGGAATGGTGATTGTAGTTCCAATTTTTTCTGCCAACCAATTTTAACATAACTGTTTATCAAGAGCAAAATTTCAGTAAAATAATGCACTTAATTTCAGTTTAGGGCACACACATGAAATGTGTTACCCAATTTTTAAGTAATATATAAAAGATGAGGTTGCGTTCAGTAAATAGATACCAAACATGTCAATCCTTAAAATTGCATGCTCCGTGATACTCCAGCAAACGTCAGTACCCTCAATTTTTAATAGACAAGGCTTTAAAAGCCCCCCCACCACATCAACAGTTTAGAGTTCAACAGGACTAGAATTATTGCTCTCACTCCAGTGTGTGTGTTATAGGCTCTTACCTTCAGGTGAATGAACACTGGCAAAGTTTTTAAAGACATGACCCTATGCATCTCCCCTATAACCGTAACATGCTTTGTCCTCATTTTTTTTGCTAGTGTCCTAAGGTAATGGACCTCTTCTCTCCTTACTGACAAATCATGCTTAGCCTAACTAGTTTATTATTTTATATTTGAATTCTTCAATTATCTCTTCACTACCACAAAACAAGCAATGCATCCAGACTGGTGCAAGCCTGGTAAGACCTTGGAAGCCGTAGCCAGACATCATGCATTGGGGATGGCCTGTAATTTCCCTTTGGGCACTGGATCCTGCGTTGGCTCTCACCATGGCACTTGGCAATGTGTTTAGTCAGCCTTAGAGTGCTTTAGAGGGCCAGGGCCGTGGGCCGTGGTTCTTCCTCATGAAACCCAGACAGTGAAGACCCCTTTGCGGGTATGCCCACTGTGACCATCAAAGCTTGGACCCTACACAGGGACCAGCATCATAGACAGGTAAGACAGGGTCACCCTGTATCTTTAAACATTACTGTTAAAACTAGGGCTGTAATTAAAATGTATTCTCCTGACCTTTTAAACATTACAGTGGAAAATCTATAATGTATAGCATTTATGCTGCAGGTTAAACATGTGAATTTGAGTTTCTTTAATAATACTGTAATCAATTTATTTCAATAGAGACAGCTGGATGGAATACAAGCTACAAAGACTTTATTTTATCTGGATATGCAGAGACGTCCAGGCTTTCCTCTGGTTTGCCGATTTACTGTGTGTGCTGCACAAAAAGGTAACGAAAGTAATTTAATGTTTGTCAGTAGAGCTACTTTCTTTTATTCTCTTCCTATGTGAATGCTGGGTTTAATGGATCCAATTACTTTACCTTGCTTTCTACAACAGCCACTATATATTTTTCTTGGGCTTGATCCATTGTTTGCTCTGTTACACACTCTCATTGTACTCGCCCCACTGTATACAGGGATCTTTGAAATTCTATTCTTGTTTACATTTCCCAACAATGTATGGGCGTTATTATTACAAGACTATTGTAGGGTTCTTTGACAGGGCAATCCAGTTCAATCAAACAAAGGTGTTCACTAGATTTTGTATTGTATATAAAAGAGCTATTGTGTGTGTTGTGGAAGTTGGATAAGTCACCCTAAAGGAGAACTTCATTCAGAGCAAGAATAGGCTGGGAATGTACTGTATATAGAAAAATTTGCATTTGTTTTATGTTGTAACCATAGTTCCCCATCTGTTAGTGGTTTCTGTGTATAGTGCCAGAATTTAAAGCTGAACTCCAGGCAAGCAGCTGAATGCACAGATGAAATACTTATATATAGGAGCTCTTTTACTTATTAATTGATTTATTACAGGTACTTATATAATGCTGTCAATTTACACAGCGCGTTACATATATATTGTACATTCACATCAGTCCCTAACCCTCAAGGGATGTACAAGCTAAGGTCCTTAACCTCTTGCGGCCCGGCCAATGGCCGTTTGGTGGCTGGCAAAATCCCTCAGCGTTTCGGGTGGACGTCATATGGCGTCCTCCTGGGCATGTGCAGTTTGCGTGCTTGCAGAGCCGCCCAGCGGCACGATCTGTCACCGGCCGTGAACCTCAGACACGGCCAATGACAGATCTGAGTACCGGCCCTGTTGCCGGTACCATATGACCTATAGGTCACATGACAGTTGTATACAATGGATGGCTTCTCATCATGCCATCCATTGTATACTAGTGTCTAGCTGTGAATGGTCACAGCAATCATACGCACAAGCTTGGTCAATCACAGCCCAGCTGTGTCATGTGATTAGCTGTGGCCAAATCACAGCTAAGCACAAAAAAAAAAAAAAACCCTGAATGAATCGATGTCATTCAGGTAAATGCTTGCTTATAACAAAATAATTATTTGCTATAAGCAAATTGTGTAAAAAAAAAATAAATACTGATCACTTCCCCAAAGTAGTTACTATGGTAACATTGTACTACTTTGGTCATAGTGAAATATGAAAAAAAAAAATCTTGAAAAAAAAGTAATAAAAAATTTCAAATAAAAAAAATTAAAAACATTAAAAAAAAAAAATTATATACTTTTTTCATACTGCCACCAGTCAGTGTCCCTGATCACCGCCATGCCAGTTATATGATGACGCTGTACTGCACTGGTGACAGTATGTAAAAAAAAAAAAAAATAGGGAAAATAATTTTTTTAATTTTTTCATTTTCCGAAAAATTAAGACAAAAAAAAATACAACTTCAAAAAACTTGCCATGCCTCTTATGAAGTAAGTGGAACTGTCTACTTTGCAAAAAGGGGTCATTTGGCGGATATCTGTACTATTCTGACATTCTTGGACCTCAAGAAATTAGATTGGCTGTCAGTACTTCAGGATTGATCAATATTCAGATATATCCCATAGTTTGTGAACTCTGTAACTTTACTACAAAATAAATAATACATCCTAATTTGGGTTATTTTCACCAAAGACATGTAGCAGAATACATCTTGGCCTAAATTTATGAAGAACAATTATTTATTTGCAAACTTTTATAACAGAAAGAAAGTAAAATGCGTTTTTTTTTTCAAACTTTTTGGTCTTTTTTTGTTAATTTAGCAAAAAATAAGAACCCCAGCGGTGATTAAATACCACCAAAAGAAAGCTCTAGTTGTGTGAAGAAAATGATAAAATTTTAGTTTGGGTACAATGTTGTATGACTGCGCAATTGTCATTCAAAGTATGAGAGCGCTGAAACGTGAAAAATGGCATGGGCAGGAAGGGGGTAAAAGTGCCTGGTTTTGAAGAGGTTAAATCACATTCATAAATTCACATACTACAGCCAATTTAAACAGGATCCAATTAAAGTACCAGCATGTCTTTGGAGTTTGGGAGGAAACCGGAGTACCTGGAGGAAAACCCACACAGGCAAAGGGAGAACATGCAAATTCCAGGCAGGTGGTGCCGTAGGTGGGATTCGAACCAATGACCCTAGTATTGCCAGGCGGAAGTGCTAACCATTTAGCCACTGTACTTGCCATTGAATGTTGATTTCTGTCCACCCAGTCCTGAGAATTACACAGCTCTGCCATACAGCACAGCCCTATCTTGCAGGGGAGGTGGAAGGATGGGGATTCATCATGCTGCTCACTGCAGTGCATCTAATTTGCTCATTGTGTTGCTTCTTGCTCCTCAGCTTATCCTCTGCTGTACAGTGACCATAAGCCAAGGATAATGCTATTTTCTTTCCTGCAACCTGCCACTGTGTTGAAGGGGAAATCCTTCCCGCTGCGCTATTGTGTTCTGTTGGAAGGGGAGCCGTTCCTGCTGGCAGAACCCAGTGATTACTGCTGGTGGCGATGGCCGGGAGAAGAGGTGGGTAGGAGGGGTGGCTGCCCTGCGCACAATGATTTATGTAAGGATGGGGGCACCTTCCGTCTGTTACAAGGCTAACAGTGGCAGTGATTTGGACAGCAAGTGACTGCTGAGTATAGCATTCCCTATGTTTGCACATCATAAATGGGGTGTGGTGGAGGGGGGGCAGTTGGGCCTCTTTGCCCTGAGCACTGGATGACCTGGAACTGCCTGGAACCACTGGCAATAACTGCATGCAAAAAATTCGACAGGCTGGTTGAACGGAAATCAATTGATGGATACAACCAACCTGCCCATAGATGGAACGAGTCTCAGCCAGTCCTTGCTGAACCGGCTAATATTTGATTCATCTATGGCCAGCTTAAAGGACTGATATTAAGTCAAATTCAGGTCTTCACACTGCTTGCATTTAAAAATATATATTTAAACCAAAATAACAGGATTTTCCCTATCCCATCTCCCACCTAGTGTCAGAATCTCTTGAATGTCAAGTCCTATTCCCCTTACATTCACCTTCTCCTGCCCTCCCCTGCTACTCTGTTGAAGTCTATGGTAAATAGTGATTGCTGGGGGAACATGTGACCCCCTCCAAGGATCCAGTGCTCAGGCCTGAGCGCCCAGTTGCCATGCCCAAACACTTGAAGGATGGCTGACACTATCAATCCCATGTAATGTCTTACACCAACCGAAACAGAGCTTACACAGGGTATGACTCCAAGCTCCAACACAAGAATGGAGCTGTGGGATACTGTGGTGAAGACAATTATAAGCGAGTCAGGGGGACTGTAAAAACAGTCTCTTTAGAGTGGTTGTAAACCCTTACATTTGCCCAGTGAAGTGACTGGCCTCAGGTAATACACAGAGATAAAACAAAGTCTCCTACATACGTGGTACCAGTTTATCTGCACCATCTATCCTCTACATCAGTTCAAAATGCAGAATTTATGCAGCTTGTCTGAGATTTCAGAATGCAGGGGTTGGGGAACTGAAGTTATACTCTGCAGAGGTCAGTGAGAGCTGATTGGAGGGAACCCACCCCTTCACAGAGCACACAAGAACAGAGCTGAGGCTGTCACTTTCAGGCTGTGAACTCCCTCCTGTTACCTTTTTTCTCTTAGTGCCAGGAAAAATTGTCAGAAGTGACTCAAATGGAGGAGAAGCAGCAAACAGATATGACACTTAGTGCTCTGGATTGAGACACACTATAGAAGGATAAGCTTTTTTCATATTTCATGTTCAAGGTGTACAACCACTTTAAGCTTTTTACATTAATATTTTAAAATGGTTTATGGTATGCTTTACAGTGAGGGTATAGGCAAAAAAAAAAAAAAAAAATATTATATAATATATATATATATATATATATATATATATATATATATATATATATATATATATATAATAAACTGTGATGCAGATTGTCACCAGCAAGAAACATAGCAGTTTTCCATATTGATCCTGCTGGTAGATCCATTGATCTTCTGCTTCATTTTACAGGGTAACAACGTAACAACGCTGTTCAATCTGCAGTAAAAATGCATAGCAGTGTTGTCACCCTGTAGAAAGGGTCGTCTTAAATGAACTTTAAATAAGTGAAAAATAAAATAAGCTAAAATCTAGATAACAGTTTTTAAGCAATTACAGTGCATTTGTAAAGTACTCAGACCCCCTTCACTTTTTTCAGTTTTGTTATGTTGTAGCCTGATACTACAATTGTTTAAATACTTTTTTTCTCATTAATATACAATCAGTACCCTATGATGACAAAGTGAAAACAGAATTTTAGAAATGTCTGTGAATTTATTAATAAGAAAAAAACTGAAATATCACATTCTTAGAGTGGTTCTAAAGGCTTAAGTTTTTTTTCTATTCATGAAGGTAGAAAAACCTTCTGCATGCAGCGCCCCCCCCCCCCCCCCCCCCCCAGTTCTTACTTGAGCCCCTCCTGATCCAACAATGTTCACAACAGCCTCAGCTGTGTGGGGAATCTCCTTCCTCATTGGCTGAGACAGCTCCCACTGCTGTCAATCACAGCCAGTGAGCCAATAAGGAGAGAGCAGGGGGCAGGGCCAAGCCACGGCTCTATGCGTCTTATGGTCACATAGGGTAGTGGCTCGGGAGCATGCACACAGCAGCTTTTTGTGGGGGTACTGCTGGTGGGGGAGGAGCCAAGAGTGCCGGTGAGGGATCCAAAAAGAAGAGGATTGGGGCAGATGTGTGCAAAACTACTGCACAGAACAGGTAAGTATGACATGTTTTTTTATTAAAAACAAAAAACAAAGCTTTAGTATCACTTTAAGTATTCAGCACCTTTGGCAGCAATTACAGCCTCAAGTCTTTTTGGATATGAGAAGACAAGCTTTGCTCACCTGGATTCGGGAATTTTCTGACATTCTTCTTTTCAAATCCTCTC